CTTCCTGTTTAAGCCTCAAGTGGAGTTAATTCTCTTTCAAGAATTCCAGCTTCTCACAGTTAAGCAATATTGTGAAATACAGCATTCTGACTCACCATCTATTTCCTGTTCTTGTCTGACTTGCAAAATTTGCAGACACAAAAACACTCATGTCTGTCTCTGGAAACTGAGCTACAGTTCAGTTGGATTCCAAGACAGATTAGACTTTTATGCAGATAGATATAATACCCACAGTTCCATTAGCTAGAGTACAGATAGGCCAATACCAAACTCTAACTGCTTGGGGTTTAGGAAATATTTACTTATGGACAAGTTAACCCTAATTTTCCTTAACAGAGTTTCTTGAATCTTGTCCCAAAGCATCTGGTACTGCAAACTGTTGGAAACAGGAAACTGGAGTTGATGAGTATAGGAACTGATCATTAGTTTGACCTGGTTTCAGCAATTCCTGTTTCCTGTCAGTGAGGTTTTGGGCAGAGCATGATGCCAACCGAGCATGTGTTCATGGACAAGGGGAGTACATTACGATCCATTAAGTTGGACCTCTTTGTGATAGCTCATAATTTTTACCATATATTCCTTTCATCTCCACAAGGCCAATGAGCTGAAGGGAAACTATGGAAATTACTCATATCCTTCCACTCTAACCGAACCCAGTAGATTGCTATGGTAATTTTTCCTCCATCTCCAAAGCCCAGAGGTGTATAGTCTCACAAAATTCATACCTCGCCTATTATTATTCACCTGCTATGTGCACAGTAAAATGTTTTGGCTTAAGAATCAGCCTAAAGAAGCCATGGTCCAGCCTCAACTGGGAAGTATTGCAACTATGCCCATTGTATCCATCAATGATGTTCCACATCATAGACAAATTTTGCCACTGAGGTCATTTCATGAGATATAATGATAGATGACAACATTTCAAAGTGTATCAGTGCAACCACCAATGCCTTTGGAAAACTTCAGCATCATCTCTAGAATGAATAAAAAATTGGTGTTTACGTCATCACTACATTCCTCAATGGCTGTGATATGTGGATTATTTAGCAATACCACAGAAAATGCTGGACCAATTCCACCTGCAAGCCCTCTAGCAGATAAAAAGGAATTAAATGGCAGGATTTGGTTCAAAACACTGAGATCCTTCAGTGCTCAGACATCACAGGCACTGAAGTTTTCATAGTGAGAATGCAGCTGAGATTATGCTGTCCTGTGGACAGTATGTCTGGCAGTAGAATTCCAAAGGCCTTCTTTTACAGAGAATTGCAAATTGGAACATGTCTGGGAGCAGACCAAGAAAACATTCAAAGACTTTGTTGAGGCCATCCTCCAATCCTGCAATGTTGAACTCAGTGTTTCTCAAATGTGGCCACCAGTGATTTTACTCACAGCCTCCTGATAATTGAGAGAAGGGGCAAAGCAGCAGGCCCTCCCCTCCTCCGGGCCCTCAGCAGGAGTTGGGCCTTCCTCCCTCCGATACACAAAAACTGGAGACGCAGGCAGCCTGTGAGTTCCCCAGAGGGAAGCCAACAGCCTCTGTGGGCCTCTGGGCAAGATGGGAAGGGGGTTGGCTCCATGTTCCCAGAAGAGGCTGAGCTTTGGGAGGAAGGAGCATCCAACTCTCAGTGCCACTCAGAATGTGGGGCTGGGCCCTCCCCCAGCCCTCAGAGCCATGTGGGGCATGCAGAGTGGCAGTTCAAAGCGGCCTGGGTTCCCAGCTGTCATCACCTTTGAAATCATCAGTCCCAGGGCAACTGTCTCCTTTGCCCCTCTGTTGGTGGGCCTGGTTTTCCACATTCCTGGGTTTGGTGGGGTTGAGCTCCAGTCATGGGATTTTGGGCTCCATGTGTTTTTTCTTTGGGTGCAGAGCAGTAGGCTCTGTCCCATCTGCACAATAGCAGGCTCTTGTCCCTGGTCCCACAGCAATGGGCTCTGGCACTAGGCTTACATTCCACCACCCCGCCCCCTGCTGCTTCCCCTGGCCCTACATTCATTCCCCTATGGTTCCTGTCCTGCTGCCTCCCTACTCACTTCCCCATTCAGGGCTTAATTTGTTCCCTGGCTTGCCAGGCCTGAGTAAGTCTGCTGTGAAAAGGGGTATTTGTATGTTTGTTAATGTCAGTTTTCACAGCAGACTTAGTAGTTTGTTGGGACGCTGTGAAAAGTGATACTAACATACAGTGTCACATTTCTCAGCAGCAGGCTTACTAGCCAGCAAAACTTAGGAAAAAATAAAAGCAAAAGAAACAAGAACAAAAAAAGAGTAGGTAGCTGCATTCTGCGGCCACCAAAACATTTGTTGTGAGAAACAAAAAGGTTGTGATAAGATCCAATGGCAGCATCTCAGCCATCTTAGACTGAAGAGTTTCAAGACACAGCAGATTGCTGTAGTCAGTACTGCATGGCATAAAGCTAAAAGCACGGCACATTCATCTACAATAGACTTCACCAGTAGCACATGTAGATGACGCTGCAGAACCTCTTTGGTCTTTGGTGTCATCTCAGAACCCACAATAACTAACTACAACTCATCCATCAAACTCTCTGAGGCTATGTCTACATTGCATTCTTTTTCTGGAAAAAGATCCACAAACTGCAGTTCTCAATTTGTGTACCTTTTTCCACTTTTTTTTTTCCGAAGAGGCTTTTCCAACATTTGGCCCATCTACAGGGGGCCAAATGTGGAAAAAACTTCCCCTTTCAGAGATCACTTACCCCTCATAAAATGAGGAATACAAGGCTTCCGAAAAAGAGTGACAGCTTTTTCAGAAACTGAACTGCTCCCTGGATGTGGCAGTGTTTTTCCAGGATATCTCTGGTATCCCAATTACCAGAGTGTATCCTGTACTCTGTAGTGTAGACATAGCTTGAGAGATTCCATCAACATCCTTCTTCAGCCTCTGTATCATAAATGGGCAACTTTGTGGCAGTAGAGGGTCATAAAATCCACTAAGGCCTTAGGCAGGCAAGGGGTATATGACATGATAGCAGAAGCTTGTGTCCTGGCTCTGGGGAGTGTGACATGGGGAGGAGGAAGAGGTCAAGTCTTGACCCACGTCTTGTCACTATGCAGTTGTGGTATCCATCCTGTGGGACTGGACTCCCTGTTTCCACCTGTTGGTGCTTTCCACAGGGTCACCTGATACACACATTTGTATGCAAGTGGGACCCTCCCTGCATGATGCCCAGCCCTCTTCCTAGGCTTGGCGCCATTGTATTGCCCGCACTAAGCTGAGTCTGTGGCAGGCCAAATAAAACAACTGGGTGAGCTGGATGCAAGTCCTGGGTTGCCAGTTGCCTTTGGAAGAACTGGTGAGACAATATGGGCTTAAGTGACAGCAGAACATAAAAGACATGCTGTTCTGCACTGCCTTGACATCCAACATGGAGAGCACTATCTCCCAGCTTTCACAGCGCTTAGTTGGAGATCCCTAACGCTAAACTTTAAGCAAGACAGGGTGATGCTAGTGGGAAAGTCTCTGGAGTGTTTGTCTCTTCTGTAGCATCCCCCACTACTGCAGCAGCTACTTTCAGAGATTTAAACCAGTCCTCAATCTTTAGATCCTTTTGGTCTCCTCCCTAGAGCTGGGTGATTAACAGATTTTTTGGTTTCCTGGAAGTTCCAAAAAAGTGGTTCAACCCAAACTAAAATTGAAAATGTTCAGATAATTGAAGAGGTCAAACAAAATTTTATTGTAGGCCAAAAGAAATGTGTTTCAATCTGTTTGAAACAGGACGAGCACTCCATACAAGCCCCAAATGGGTTGATGTGGGCCACTTAACTTTACATGCTGCACCCAGCAGGAAGTTAGTGATTGATAAGGTCCAACTACAGAAATCATCAGCCCCCCCATGGGATCAGTCCTAACTACCAGAGAAATCCCTTTTCCCTCCATGAATGTTACTCCCATAAAAACTTCATTCCACAGACACACTAAAAAGACAAAGTGGTTCATGAGTTGGAAACAGACTTTTCATAGTAGCCAGATCTACACTAAGGAACTCACTCCAAAAAATTCAAGTATAACCATAGACCTCACCACTTCTGGGACTAATTTCAAAACCTCTTCTTTTGACTGGGCTCACCTGCAGCAAACACATTTCTTCCCAGCAAAACATCAATATCCCTGTAAACTAACCAAGCTATTTCCCCTTACACTTAGAAGAAAGAAAATAACCTGCAATTTTTAATATTACTTCTTCTTTTAAAAGCTTGGAAAGAATTAAGATATGGTGAAGGGGGTTGTGCAAATACTTAAATTAGATAAATCCTATGAGACATCTCACCTAGAAAACTGCCTTTGTTAATAGGCCACTGCTACTTAGGTCCTGAATTTAAGACCACATATGTCCCAGTCTTTGTATCAGAAACAATTGTTCTAATAGGGAGCTACAGTAATTAGTTCAGAGAGGAACAGACACCCGCAAACCTCATTGTATGACAAGAGTTTCTCTAGAGCTGGCCAAATAAGGAAACACATTACTGGCTAATATTTCATTGAAAACATGATATGTCGTTGGTAAATAGAGTAGTCATAATCTAATCAAGCCACCTTCCTGCACATAAAAGCAATGCATTGAGCTAATGATTTATTGGAAAAATAGCTTCTACAATTATTATTCAACCATATGTAACTTAATGCAAGTTCTCCAAATCCAAAGCAAATAATAACAGATCATTAGAGTATCAGCGTCCCAAAGGCAAATGCTTTATAATAGAAGTGTGATGAAAATTATGTTTGCAGCCCTGTCAAAGCATATTATTTGTCATACACAGTAAAGTTAAAGCATGTGCCTTTCACTTGAAAGAGCTTCCTTCAACATATGTTGGCATCTCCAATTTTTCCGGAACTTTAAACTGTCAGTAAAATGTTCTTATAAGCTGAGAAAGCCATAGCCACACTGGCAGGATAATAATAAAAAACAGTTTTAAATAAATTTTTTAAATTTATTTTATCTAAGACATGTTTTTCAATGGATTACATGATAAATTGCCTTACCTCTTGCTGGAAGTAGTAGAATGCATGTAATTAATAAAGAAAGCAAAAGGCATACAATCACTCCAAATATAATTTTTAGCTGGGTCTGTGGGATAAAAAGCAAATAATAATTATTTTACAGATATATTATGGCTTTGTTTGCACATTAACATCCCCACCACAAAAAAGAAACAGAAAGGTATTCTATTTAATTGCTGACATCCATCCAAGTCAACAAGCATAAATCTTCCTGTAATATATTTAGAACTGTTTTTCTTCCTCTGTCCTGTGAAGCAAATACTTACAGATCGGAACCTGGCCTTGTGCAACAATAGAAAGTTTACAACAATAAATCCAGCAATTTTAAAAGGTTGAATTTTGTTCATCTACTGACCTTCATTTTTCCAGATTTATTCTATAAGAATACAAATTCTTTCTGCTGGGTGTTGATCAGTGGATCAGTAAGAGGAGTCTGAAATGGCAGGCTCTGCTTTCACAGTTAGTCAAAACTTAGGAAAACTTTTTTTTCCGCATACTTTGAAAAACCTTGCCAAATTTCAAAGGTTTTCTGGAAAATTAGAAACAGATTTTTGGGAGTGTTCTTGGCCCCAAAATGACCTGTGGGCTGCTGTGGGAGTGGTAATTATATTCTCCTTCTCCATGTTAACTGCAACCGACAGCTGATTACAGTAAGTTATGGGTTTAATGACTCAACAGTAACATCAATATATGTTGTTTGCTTCTAAAATGCATAATGTGTGTTGCCAAAACTCAGGGTTTTAGAACTTATTGACAATAATCTTGTTTGTAGTCTCAACGAAGTAACAAATGAGGGAAAAGTAAAGCCTTTCTTATTTCTATATGCTTCTGTGTTTAGTTTTTGGGAGAAAAAAGAAATGCAGAGTGAGGAACAGAATATGTATGCTTTTTAATCTCTTTAAGCCAATAGCTCTTTAGCATAATGAAGAAAATTATTGTATGTACTTCTGAGAAAATGATAATTTGTGAAGCAGACTTTATAGTATACATTTGAATGGGAAACATCTATGGGCCTGCTCCAAAGTCCATTGAAATCAAGGAAAGTTTCTTCATCTACGTCCATGGGCTTTGAGTTTTTCTTTTGCTTAGCCCCATCTCTGATAAGGATTCTTTTAAAAAGTTTGATATTTCAGTGCCAAGAAAAGCATTTTTTTTTCAATTCCCCTTATTTTAGTGAGCCAAAATATACACATACAGCTGGTTGTACGAGTGCTCTAAACATGAAATTGCATGTCCCTCTGTCCACAGTGGCATGTTGCAGCTGAAGTTACTGAAGTTAATGAAGAGAAGTCAAATCATGCTAGTTAGCATACTATACATATAGTTACACAGGCCTTTCTCAAATTTTCTGATCCTTGCTTTAGCTTTGGTACAGCTCTACCGGTGATAGAAAAAGATGACAGCACTTGCACAGACTGGCCACAGGTGTTTTTACCTTCATGTCATTTAACTTTGCTTAGAGCTGAACCAGGGTAGAAGAGTAGAGAAAATTCTAAATGTAGAAATGTAGACACAACCCTTAGAGATAATGTCATAGGGTATGTCTACACTACAGCATTAATTGGAGTTATCTTAATTCCAAATAGCTATACACACAAAATGTAGCGTGAATTAGCATTTTGCTAATTCGAAATACTGCATCCACACTGACTGGACACAGAATCAGATTTAAGGCCAGTCAGGCACGGCATCAGGTCAGGAGTGTCTGTAGGTGGCTGCTGCCTGAGGCTATCTGATGCCTGTGCTTAAAGGCATCAGATAGCTACCCCTGCCCCCGAGCAGTTGGTTCTCAGGTGTTCCTGCTTGCTTGCCTGCCTTGATGAGGGGCAGCAAAGCATTTGTGTCTCTGAATGCTCTGGTTGCCCTCACTGGGGACACCACAGCACTCTGTAACATGGAGCCAGAGCTGGAGCCAGAGCTGCCCCTGGGCACTCTGGTGCTTATCCTGGATGTGTTCCTGTGAGTCTGGCTGCACTTTCTGCAGGCTGCCATCCCGAAGGTCCATTGGGGGGGCTGTCAGTATCCAGGAGGACCTGCAGGAGAGCTTCCACCCTGAGGAGCTCTAAGAGCCTCTCTGGTCTTCCCCACTGGGGGCTTGTGCCTCATTCCTCCCTCCTTCCACTTACCCCTCCCTAACCCCCCTTCCTGATGTCAAATAAAAACACATTTCTTGCCAAAAACAAACTCTCTTTATTGACCGAAACTGGGGTGGGAATGAGGGTGGGAGAAGGGAGGGGGAAACCTGGGAGGCTCCTGGGAGCTGGCAGACTGCTCCTGGGGCACAGTGGAGGGCTGGCTGTCAGTGGCTTACTGGCTCATGTTTTGGGGCCACTGAGTCGGGGCAGTGACTGCTGGCTCTGGGATGACAGGCTTGGAGCTGGCACAGGCACTGTGGCCAGAGGCTAACCCTTTTAGGGG